AAACCAGAATTAAACTAATATTACTTACATGTCTGTAGCACGGCAAATATATTAGATATTGAAAAAACTCCAACTATATTAAATTACATGTCCTTTTTCCTACTATTACACTTTTTCTAATTATTTAAATAATATTTTACTTTCTTTTTTTCGAATAACATTTCTTATTAATGACATTTTAATAGATTTTATCGTATTAAAAAATAAATAAGAGTAAAATATCATATTTCTAAAGTATACACTTTTACTTTAATATTTTTGGTGTACAAAAAATTGAAATATAAGAAAATATGACAAAAAATGGTTAAGCGAAAATATTCAATATAACTGAAATAATAAAACTTTATACAGTAACCAAAGCATACGATAACCAGTGACTACTTCATCGGACTGTACGATGCTTGTTTGTATGTGGCTTGTGTGCCCCACCTCATTGAAAAACAACCTCCAACATTACAATAATGACTAGTCGCAACCTGCAACTACGTGAGTTTTGCGCTCTTTTTCAGTCAATGATCATTTTACACACTTTTTATTGCCCCGATTATATAGAACGCCTATAGGGTTAAATGAATGCTATTTGTTCGTAAGTTGAGCCTAAATCATGACATTGGATTATATATGCTATATAATTTGATGTTCTTCATTAATTATTTAGATTCAACTTTTTTTCTTACTTATTTATTTACATTCAGTCAATTTCAATATGTCGAAAAATATGAATATTTTTAATTTTTAATTTTTGATTATCCCAATTATGCAATTCGATCTCATATTTTTTAATAAGCTTTACTTTAAATTTATTTTAAAAAATTCCCAAATAATTAAATATAAACTGATAATAGAATATATTTAAAAACTTATATATAATTACGATATTGAATTAAAAATAAAATTTATCATATTTTTATTAATGTATTCAGTGCTAAACTTCGTTTACAATTTAAAACATTTTTAACTAATTTTTAACTAATATTTGCATTATGATAATTCAAGTCGATTGACTAAAGTTCAATCAAATCTGACAATTCAATAATAATTCACTCACCCTTTAAATATTTATATTTACTTTATTCATTTAGCTTAAGATGCTCAAGAATATTGTTCAATTATTTAAAAATATTGCACTAGTAATATCGATGAAAAATTGATCTTCATTTTTTTTAACATATAAATATTATCAGTTACTAACAATTATTTTAGTTCGAAATTAATTCATACTGTTATGTAATTTATGGTTAAATTTATTAATTTTTATTCATTTCTTAAACTTATATTATTAATTTTACATAAATTTTGTTAACGAAAAATAATAGTTAGGTAAATACGTAATTATATATACAAATATTTGATGAGATATGTCTTCTAATATTGATAGAATGTTTTTTAAGAATTTTACAATATAGATTTTATGTTATGTTTTTATTTATAAATTTGTAGCAATAATAACAAAGTAAATATTTTAATTAAAAATTGGTTTTATTAGGGAAGAGTATTTAAATTATTATCTGAAGTACTGTGTAAACACTGTAAAGGCTATAAAATCGCGACAAGAAGATACGTCTTTCAATCTTACGATTATGTAAACATGCGTAAATAATTTAATTATTTCGAACCATATTATAAAGCACAATATTAATATAAGAATTTGCATTGAGCTCATAATCTATTACTGTACTGTTTGAATGAATATAAAAAATATTTTAAATAATAATAAAATATTTGATAAAATAACTTTAATTATTTTAATTTAAAAAAAAGTTGCTTGAACAACAATATTGGATTGTTCGAAAAATAACTTAATTTTCATAATAGAAATATTACATAAAAAATATATTTTTCTATTTCTATTCTATTATTTTTTATCATGTAAAGAATGCATAAAAGTATAAAATAAATTTATTAATTGATATAATTGAAATGAAGAACTAAATACAGTAATGTAGGAAAACAAAAACTGAACGATTCAATAGTTTTTAAAAAGAATAATAATTATAACAATTGCTGTATAATTAAATAATATATTATAAATCAAGTACAAAAAATTTGAAGTAAACTAAAAAAAATAATAATATTAGTGATAAACAATTATTAATACTTTATTCAGTATAACGCTATTTGATAAGCTGTCATATTCCATCATTAATACATTGATTATATATAACAAATGTTATATCCTCAATGAATAATATGCTTAAAACCCTTACATTTTTTAATCATTCATTATACTCATCGATGTCCACTCGCAGCTCACTAGATTTGTCCTGAAATTCCCCATGTATTCCCATGACGGGCTGACAATTATATTTTAGGTATTTTTGATAAAATGTCTAGAAACTTAATTACGAATGAAATTTAGAGAAATAATCTGTAAACAAAAATTCAGAACAAAAATTATAGCTATATATAGATTTATTTGCATTACTGTAAATAAAAATAAAATAAATACATTTATATAACATTTAGAAATAAATATCACAGTACAATTTTTTTTTAATAAATTAAATCTCCAATTTTCAGTTTCATTTTATAAATTTTTATAAAATTTAATTAACAAATTTAACAATTATAGTACTAGATTTTTATGTTGTAATAATTTTTAATAGGTACTCTTAAATATTATGTTTTATATAAAAATAAAAATTTTCGATATGACTTTCATCATTACCATCAGTTTTTTTTATAAAATGATGGAATGTAGTATTTTCAAAATTAATTTTCAAATTATATAAATATAAAAATGGGACAAACAAATGAATTTTCAATTCTTTAATTCGTGAAAACATAACTTAAAATATTAATAATGGTTATTGGAAATTTTTAGAAATGTGTAAATGTTTATTTGAATATATAAGCAATAAATACATACTTTCGTTTACAGAAAAAATCAGTTACTTTTATTAAAATATATTTCATTTTTTTTTTAACTTAAATCTATTATAGTGTAAATTACATAAATAATAGTTTTTTTAAAAACTCCTAAATAATTAAAGATATACCAACTATATAAAATTAATTTAAAAATATTTATTTATAAGATAATTACTATATCTTTTTTTAAATTAATGAAATAGATTGGAAACAAAATAATATATGATCACATAATATAATTAGTTACAAATTATAGGTGTATGACTGTGTGTAAAAGTGAGTCAAGATCAAAAGAAGTACAAGTTTAATTAAATGTTATAAGTTCCTGCTATATTCTTTACTACACGCTGAATTTTCGAACGAGTATAAAATTATAGTAAAATTATATTACGTAGGAGTGCTATTTCATAAAATATTGTTATGTTGATGCAAAACTGTTAACAATCTTTTACAGAATTTAAATTTCAAAATATAAAATGAATCGTAATGAAAATATAAAACAATCTTAGACGTAATTTAATTATATTAAAAAAAAAAAATTATTATGAATGCATTTCTAACGAAATAATACGTTATAGAAACTAAACGAAGAAGCCTCGATTTACATTTACAATTGTATGAATATATAATCACTATAGATTCTGTATTATATTAAATATGGTAAACATTTGCTTTCTCTCCAAATTATAACGACTAATAAAAATATATATAAATAAAATTTCTTGCAAATAATTGATAAGTAAAATGAATATAACTTAATTAATGTTTTAGAAATTTAATAATTCGTTAACTTATTAAATTAACATTTTTAAGGTATGTTAGTTTCATAATTAGATAAATGCAAAGTTAATTTGTTATCATTAATGTATGGACATTTATAATAAAATATATCTGTACGGTTTTCAAGTAGATCTATTTCAATATGTTTATAAATTAAACTTAAACAATAGCAAATTCACAAGAATAAAATTAGTCATAATAGATTAAATATAAATAAATTTTTAGTTTATTATTTCAAATAATGTTATTTATATATTAATATTTCTTTAAAAAAAAAACCTAATTATGTACAAAGCAAATTTCAATATTTAAACGCTTCAGAACAATATTCATTTCAATAATGATTTTTCTATTATAAATCATATGAGTAGTTTATCCAGTATAAAACGTTATATAAATATTCCTACAAAAACTAGATTTTTGAATAACAAAAATCTGACTTTTGTTAAAATGTATTATTACAAAAATAATAATAATAAAAAAACGTAAATACGTAAGTATTGAATAGATAGATTATGGATGCATTTTCACAATGGAAATAACTAAAGTTATATTGTAGAGATTACTTTTATATTGTAATTTAAGTATAATCACATGACAAATTTACCGAATTTTACAAAGTTTAATTTTTTTTGTATAATTTTCCACCAAATATTAATGTTCTTGAGGTTCGCTTATTGGATAACTAAAAAAATTCATCGAATTTATTTTTACAATTGAACGTTCTTCAACTTCAAATTATAAATTAAAGTTGTATTTCAATAATATTTATATGCCATTATAATATAAAAGTATTGTTTCTAGCTACTTTATATTGGATTGTTAAATAATATATTTTAAAGTGTAATCATATTATAAGACTCAAATAAACAGACATTATTTTACAGAACATAAGAATAGATTATTCTTATAATTTAAATTGAAAACAATTTATCAAGAAATTTTGTTTAAACAACGAAAAAGTATAAAAAATAATCTAATTATTATATATTTGTGTGGAATAGTTCTCAAGATCAAAAAAATATCTCTCGACAAATAAATAGCATCCTATAATATCAGTTACATACTCTTGAATGATATCAATGTTTTTTTTAAGATTTAATTGCATTTTAACAAAACAATTTCCAAGGTTATAAAAGACCATTGCAAAACAGTAGAATATATAGAAAGAGCACGACTTTTCATAATTGCATCATTATTTTTTTATTAGTATATATTATTTTAAATAAATGTACAATGAAAATTTTGCTTGCATTAAGCCATATGCATACATGTCAAATAATTATCAAAAGGCATGCTAAGCGTTTAAGTGAGGTACGTATGTGTAACGTAATATACATAGTACATACCTAGAGAGCTACACTTTGTATGTTAAAGCATGCGAATGAATGTATCAAATGGCATATCGCGCAGGCGTCACGTAGCTTATCTATGAGAATATAAATTAAAAGTATATTATATATAATTAAAAAAAAAAAAAAAAAATGATTACAAGTTATCCGTTAAGCGAGGAATAAGAGTTATTCTACTAATAATCGAGTGTCAGTTATGTGTTTACCTGATAAAAGTAAAAGGCTAGTCTGCCAAGTCTTTCGAACAGTTGTATATTGGTTTCTTTTGACATAATACTTGATTTCACTCATGATTTGATCGTCACTATTATTTGTATTAATATGCTTTACCCGTCTCACTCTTTCACTCTCTTTCTATCTACCTATCTATCTATCTATCTATCTATCTATCTATCTGTATCTATCTCTCTGTCTATCTGTCTCGTCTCGGCCGGTCTGGATTCGTTTTGTCTCGTCACGTCTCGTTTCGTATCGTCTCGTCTCGTCACGTCTCGCGTCGTCTCGTCTCGTCACGTCTCGCTTCTCTCTCTCTCTCTCTCTCTCTATCTATCTCTCTCTTTATTTCGCTCTTTTACTTTACACCCCTCTTTCTTGGTTTTATCTTTATCGTACTGTCTAGATTTCCCGTTTTTGTAAATTCCATGTAATTTTTGTTTCAGCCGGTATGAACTTCGAGACTGCGAATTGACATATAGTTGTAAGAATAAATACTCTCTATACACTAATAAATAGAAGTATATGGTAAAATTGATAATTAAATAATAAAACAATTATTGTTTATTTTCTCACTCAATTTTCATAATAATTACCAATCATCTATTGATGATGAAAACACTGAATAAACTAGTACTGTAAACCAGATAGTATTGCCATTATCACCTAACGAGTAGCTAGAAACCACTGCTGAATGTGATGTTGTCGCGCACTACACCGCGCAGTACCACGTGACAATGGGGTCAAGTTACTGTATACAGTACGGCATTCGTACCGCTTATTATACGATTATATATACAATAAATTTGGCTGACCCAGCGTTGAAAATGAACTATTTCAAAATGGTTGCAAAATGACACCCCCCAGATTACGTGTTAGCCATTCTTAATTTCAATAAATATGTGTATAGCTCGTTTAACATATTTATACGACTAAGCATTTTATAGCAAGACATTGTATAACTTAATAAATATATCAATTTAAATGAAAACTTATAAATTATATATTAAATATTTATATTTAAACATGTCAAAGCTTTTGTACTAGGATTTTCAAGTGTATTTCACCAGGGTAAATTATTATTAAACATAACGACACAAATGTTATAGTAGAAATATATCAAATTCAACTACTGCGGCAAATTATTAATATTTTTAAAGCCAATGAATATATTACATTAAAGTGAATATTTACTATTATATAGGGACGAATTACTAATAGGAAATTTGTATTGATAATATTTCATGTAAATTACAAAGAAGATGAATAATTACGATTAAAGCAAATTTTTATTTATATTATTGATATATTTTTATACATTAACAATTTGATTGAAAATTTGATTTTGTGAAATAATCTATAATTAAAAACATTTTGAAATATACATGCATCTGAAATATAAAACAAAAATTTGTGATGCATACATGAAATATTTTATTTTTATTAAAAAATATGTTATTTTTCTAGAAAAATAAATATTTTTTTAATATTCTTTATTTCGTATCTGATATAAAAGATAAAATAAAATAATAAATCTTTAAAATTATGATTGTATCTTAGTTATATATGAAATATACTATAGTGTATTTATTGCGACAATACAGGTATAGTAAACTTATATTTTCTAGTTTCTAAAATTTCAATTTCATATAGAATAATAGTAAATTAATTACGAAAGCGGTAGCATTATCTTAATAACAAAGGGGTACGCTCTGCAATAGAGTGAACTCAATAAATGATCTTACGTAGCACGAATATGTAATAATTATCGTTTAATCGTAATAATAAACAGATTTCAGCTGAAAATAATATAAGCATCATTTTAATTTTATAATTGTACAATATGTATAAATTAGTGACTTCACTTTATACATAATTGAATTGTCGATTACTTTCATTAACTTGACACATAATGTTTTTATTTTATATTAATTTATAATATCTCTGTACAAAATGTGTCCGACGATTTCGAAGAACCAAAAATATTTAGAATTAACCAAATGACCACGAGATGTTATGTGGGAAAAATGTATGGGCAAGTGGGCGGGATAGTGCATTAATTCAATATTTAACACATCTGTTTTTCGTTGTGTTTATTCCGTTTATTTTCTAACTGCAGGAGTAATTCTTGCTGATGAAGTCAATAGATGAACTCTTGTAGCTCCGTGGCGGTTAGTACTTAGCGTTAGTGTGCAGTTCGTTTCGTTTCGTTCGCAGGAGGTTGTAAGTTTTCTGATCCTCGTGACGTGGTGCCCCGATGGTAGGTTACCCTGAGAAAGCAGAGGTTGTAAGGCTCTTACCACTTCTTCGAGTAGTGCAGTAGTGCCTTCTAGTGGTGATGAATCTGCTACTGTTTCGTGCACTTGGACATGAGCTGTAATCCTTGCCTTTTTGATGTCTCGTGCACTTTGGTACAATCGGCAAATTTCTCTGAATGTGTGAGTCGTGAGCGACAGCATGTGCTCTAATCCTTGCCCTTTTGATGTGCGCTGAGTGGCGCGAAGATAGGCTTCGTGCGCGTGGGACACGAGCGAGGTTCTCCTTGGACACAGGCAGTGAAATTAGTTAGGATAATGTTGCGTACATCTTTGAAATGGCCTTGATCCCTGAAGTATGTTCGGTGATCTGGCTCCTGGAGAGACCTGGGAGGCAAATTGTGGCTATGGTGCCGTGAATTGATGAATTTACAAACGAAGACATGGCTTCGGACTCAGCTAAGAGGACTTCCCTTTTCTTTCTTCCATCATCCTTGAGGACTTCAGCGTGAGTGTTTAAATCTTATGGTAGACCCTCTTAAATAGTTCACTGACCCTGTTGTCCACTTGGGGTCCCTTCCCTTTTCTTGTATCCAATCGGAGAGCTTGCGACTTCACGGGCGGCTCTTGCGAGCAGCGCCTCTAGCGGCAAATCTTCAATCAAGAAGCTCAGTCTTTTCGTAGCTCTCGAGCCAAGAGGAGCTCCCGATTTCATTGCCTCGACACCTCTGGCGGCCACATGGCAGACTTGATAACGGGGGGGGGGGGGGGCATTAGATTTGTAATTTTGAGTGTAGCGGCTCTTTCCAGATGCCTAATGAGCTGGGTTTTTCCAAGTCTACCGACTTGTTAACCAGATGTTTAATGAGTTGTGAAATGTTCTCGCAACTCTCAAACAATCTCTTATTAAATGCAACGATTACGAATAAGTCTGCAATATATTGTTTATTTTATACGTACTTAATTAGTATGATACATCGATATGTTTCACACAACATTAAATTACCGTATAATATTAATACTAATAAGCAGCTGAGAGCCCAAATTTACAAATAAATTAAAACATAGATGGATAAAGTTAGATAATTAAATTCATAACTTGTAAATATATTGATTTTTCAATAATATTTTTATGTTACCTATATACATTTAAAATATTCAAAACATACATATACTGTCATATTGAAGCATTCTAAAGGATGATATATATGAACTGACGAATATACTTTTTTATTATATGTAATAGATATAATCCAATAAATATATTTTTTTCGTATAGGATAGAATATAAAATGACTTTATATAGGTATAATTATTAATTTTTATTATTCAGCAGAATAGGTAGATTGGATGAACTTAATTATAAAGTTTCAATAATCGGAATTTTTACCTAAATATATTATAAAAGTTAAATTCATGTTTTATCTGATTTGACTTTCTGTGCTAATAAAGAATAAAAATTGGTTAAGCAATTATAGCAGGATATTTTAAAAGAATGAAATTCAATGTCATTTAATAACAAATATATGATTAAAACATCAAAAATAATATGTAGGTTATATCGGAGATTGTTTTTCGAATTTTCATAGCAATTAAACAAAGTGTAACCAAAGTAAGTGTAATAATTTAATAATATAATATACTTTATCGACGTTGCATTTTGCTTACATTCATTCACTTTCGTATTTGTAAGACTTGTATCATTTACTATACAGGTACATATTCATAAAATATATAAAGATTTTTGTCTCTCAATTAGCAGGATGATCATATTTTATTTGATTTCTTTTTATAATAATTCGTATTAGATATATTGATATTATTATTGTACTAGTATAAAATTATTCTATAATATTGATTTGGTTAAATTTTATATCCTAGTGTAAATTTTATACATTTAAAAATTAATTTTGTAGCAATTTTTAACATTATTTGCGAATTTTTAAAGTATTAACTAAAATTCAAATGATTAGCATTAGACGCAAAAATTCATTTCAATTAATCATTTATCAATAAAACTATTTAACAATAAAAATATAAAATAACCGATTTATGTAAATCTCATATCCTTATGAGATACAAAAACAGCAATTCAGGTATAAACGGCGGCAAAATGAGCAACCCATCCAGAACCACCATTAT